TGTCAAAAACCAAAAAAGAATAAATGCAAGACACACATTCATTCATTCATCAAGTGTCTGACCAAATTGCCAGAATTCATCTTCAGAAGTGGCAGAGATTTCCTGGAAGGCCACGGATGTGGTCCCAGTCCAGCCATGGTCCGGGTTCCTGTGGGACGGTGGCCTCCTGGGATCAGTGGGCACCTGCAGTGTCCCTTGCATGTCACGCTGCTCCCTTGTAGCACCTGAGATCCCTATGGGCAGGAGAGGGCAGGTGTCTCAGCTCCTGCCATTCCTGCTGGCGCAACAGACCCAGTGCACTGAGACCCCCCCACCTCAGTGCTGGGGGTTGGATAGGAGTCCTTCTCACTGGGCTCCATCCCCTGCCCTTTTCACTTTTTTTTTTGGTACCAGGGATCAAACTCAGGACCTTGCCCTTTTGAGACAGGCGGTGGCACCACTGAGCTAAAACCCTAGAGCCCCTTTTCACATTTTTATCTTGAGAGAAGGTCTTGCTGAGTGATCAAATGGGCCAGGCCGGGCTCAAACTTGCAATCCTCCTGCCTCAGCCTTCCAGAGTGCTGGGATGACATGTTCGTGCCACCACGCCCAGCTTCAGCCCTTCTTTCATTGCTAACCTACTGCATGCATAGCCCTGTGCTGGGGGCTGGGACAAAACAGGGAATAAGGTTGGAGCTGGGGTAGAGCATTTGTCTAGCACAGCCAAAGCCCTGAAGTCCCCGGCTTCCACGCAGAATGGAGAAGGAGGAGCGGGAGAGGAGGAGGAGGAAGGGACGCGCTGTAGGACCGAAGCAAGGAGGCCAAAGTCCCTGTCTGAGCACTTCGATCACCCCAGCCCCGCCCCACTGAGTCAACCTTACCAGTCGGGTCTGGCAGGGACCAGGGCGGCACCGGCACCAGGCAGCTGGGCAGAGCCTGTGCCTGGGGACCTCTGAAGCCACCTTATCACCCTGAAGAGTCCCTTGGCTCCTTGTCCCGAGTGCTCCAGGGCCCAAAACACCCTCAGATGTCTCTGCCTCAGCTGTGCCTTCGTGGAGCGGAGAAGGAAACAGGCTCAGAGAGGCCTAGAAATGGCTTTGGAGAAACTTGCTTGGGGCCTCGTTCCCTGGATCCACAGCCGCGATGCCCTAGGCAAACAGGGCACATCCTCTGTCTTGGTTCCCTCTCCTTTAAAAGGGAGCTAGAGGAATTATACTTACAAAGATAGGTGTGATCAAAAATACAGTGAATGTGCAGACTGTTTAAAAATGTATTTCACGGGGCCGAGGATTTAGCTCAGTGGTTTTGCCGCCTGCTGCGCAGGGGCAAGGACCCGAGTTCGATCCCCGGTACCAAAAAAAAAAAATGTATTTCCCAAAAACACACATGACTGTGAATCCCCCTCAAAAGCCTCCAAGTTGGAACACACTTGTCCCATCATTCTTGGCCCTTTCTGCAGCAGTTCTGCAAGCCCTCTTCTGTGAGGGTCATTTCGTGGCTACCTGGATGACCTGAACTGATTCCAAATGTTTACGGCAATTTCTGTGCAATATAAATATTACCATGTGCCCTCACCTTTATTCACTGGATCTGACACCGTGCAACTTCTGGCTCTTCCCAAAGTCAAACTAACCGTGAAGGGCAAGCATTTGAATCAATTCAGGACGTCCGGGTAGCCAGAACTGTGCAACTAAAGGCACTCGGGAAAGAGGACTTCCAGAACTGCTTCCAAAAGTGGAGAATGACCGGATGAGTGTGTTAGAAATGTGTTAGGATTTTTTGGTTAATTTCTTTTTTAAAAAATAAATTTGGGCCGGGGATTTAGCTCAGTGGTTTCGCCACCTGCTGTGGAAGCACAAGGACCCGAGTTCAATCCCCAGTACAAAAAAAAAAAAAATTTAATTTTAATTCCATTCCATTCCCCTCCTCAAGCCCCTTCCCCTCCTTATGTACAAAAGCTTTGTTTTCATTTTTTCCTTCTATTGTCACCTTTTTTTTTTCTTGTTCCTTCCCTCCTTTCTCCCTCCCTCCTTGTTCCTCTTCCCCTTTAAACATTTTCCTTGAGGGGGAGGATTTTGAGGGGCATTCATGGAAACATGTTTTTTTTTTTCTTTGTACCAGGAGCTGAACTCAGGACCTTGTGTTTGCCAGGCAAGCATAGCGCCATTGAGCTACACCCTGGCCCTTTCTTTCTTTCTTTCCTTCTTTCTTTTTTTTTCGAGACAGGATCTCGCTGTATAGTTCAGGCTGGCCTCCAATGCACTACTTAGCTGAGGCTGGCCTTGGACATGTGGTGATCCTCCTGCCTCAGCCCACCAGGTGCTGGGGTAACAGGCATGTACCACCATGCCAGGCTGCCAAGGTCTTTCACTGTAATACCTTTTTTTTTTGGTACCGGGGATGGAACTCGGGACCTTGCACTTTCAAGGCAGGTGCTGGAACCACTGAACTAAATCCCCGGCCCCTGTAATAAGTTTGTTTGTCTTTCTTTCTTTCTTTCTTTCTGTATTTATTTTTTGGTATCAGAGAGCGAACTCAGGTCCTTGCGCTTTGTAATACATTTTTATTTATTTTATTTATTTATTTTTTTTGGTACCGGGGATCAAACTCGGGTCCTTGCGCTTGCGCAGCAGGCAGTGAAACTGCTGAGCTAAATCCCCGGCCCTGTAATACATTTTTTAAAAATGTAAACATTCATCTTCTCACAGAAGCCCAGAGGTGCAGCTGAGTCCTGGAGTTTACAGAAATATCAAAGAGGCTGGGAGCTGGGTGTGGTGGCGCACGCAAGTCTGTCATCCCAGCACTTGGGAGGCTGAGGCAGGTGGATTGCTGAGCGTTCGAGCCCAGCCTGGGCTACACAATGAGACCCTGTCTCAAAAAACCAGCCGGGGATTTAGCTCAGTGGTTTCGCCGCCTGCTGCGCAAGCGCAAGGACCTCAGTTTGATCCCCGGT